GGGTCCCCCCCCCCCCCCCCCCCACATCCAATATTTTTCTTCGACTATCGCAAATAGACATTTGAATTACCTTTAAGTTAAATTTATTAAAAAAACCTTTGGGGATCTGCACGAAAGGTAACCTTAAAAGACATAAGAGCATGACTATATATATATATGAATTTGATGGGGTTTGGTACAAAAACGTTACGGGGCCAAGGTTGAGGGAATGTTATTCTATCTATTTTTACCATCCGTATCCCTGTTGTTCTGAGTCCACTATCGCTGTATCAGGTTGAATATTTACTGGCAGTGAGAGAGAGTACAATATGATTTATAGCGGGCGGAAGTTGTCACTTTTCGAGGACCTAATTTGGGGGTTCAGTGACAGAAAGGCAAGGCAATTAGAGACTCCGGTCGCAGCTTCAAGCTGATTTTCGTCGACTTTTCCACGGTGTCGCAGTTGACACGAGTTTGATTTCAGCTTTGACACCTATGAAACAAGAGCGTGGAAAAGAAAATTTTCAGTTGACAGCCAGCCGAACGACAACCACAACTGTTGATAAACAAAATTAACTAATCATTTCATATGTTACTGAAAACGACATTTAAGTCTCAAAAGCTAAAACCTCGCTGCAGGAGTGCTTTGCACCACTTTGTACTAAAGGTGAACAGTTTTACATTGTTGCCTTCCGTTTTGAATAAAATGATGTTTTAACAGTAAAAAAGCTGACCCTTTTGGACATAGGTTGGCACACGACTTGCCTCAGAAAAAATGTGATAACTCGAAAGCTGTTCCCTTAATAAAGTACTGAACCACCCCAGTTAAATTTATACATTTGCACTTGATTGATTAATAGAATTTTGTATTACTACGATAGTTTTGCTAAAGCATATTTTCGAATTGGATTGTAGGATCGACATTGAACTGGGACTAAATGATTCATCCCAAAGCTTCTTGAAAAAAGTATAGGATCTTTTGCTTGAATTTTTCCTATTCAGTTCTGTGTGAGCTATCCGTCGAATGCTGTTCGATTTTTTGCAAGTGAATAGCGTCAAAATGTTGCAAATTTGTTGTAAAAGTGTTGTTTTTTTTTTTTTTTTTTTTTTTTTTTTTTTCATTCTACTTGGACGATGACCGCTGGAGAGCTATGAAAAAGCTACCCAGCTGCGGTTAGTTTGCTTTCATTTGTCATCATTAGTGTCCTTCCTCGCCCAATTTCTCTTGCAAACCATAATGCTGTCG